ATTTCAATTGGTATTCAGTCAATTCCCCAAATCTTGCTTTTCACCAAGTTCTGGTAGTTAGTGCAAAACGAGTTCAAAACCACCAATCATTCCATGGGAGAAATATGAGATTCCTACTCCCATAAACATTTACAATCTAAGCCATGTCTAATAAAACAACAACCAACCTCACGCCCAGTGGGAGAAAGTTAGAAACATTTCCACTGAAACATGGACTAGACAAGGATGCCCCCATCACCACTTGTATTCAGTGTTGTGCTGAAAGTTTCAGCTAAGTCATCAGACAACAAAAAGATATCAGTGGAACACAAATAGGCAAAGAAACCCTCACTATTTGTAGATGATATGATCCTAGATATAGACAATTCAAAAGTCTCCACAAAAGGCATATTAGAAATAATTGAGGGATTAGGCAAGGCAGCACAATACAAAATAAATAATCAGAAATCAGTCGGATTCCTGATGACCAGTAAAGACAGGTATGAAAAAGATCTTAAGAAAACAATACTCACTTTTCTGTTGTCCATCCCCCAGGGAAGGGGTTATATGTAGATCCTTGTGATCAGTCCCCTTTTCTCCCCAACCTTTCCCTTCCCCTCCAGAAAAGTGGGTGAAGTGTAAGTGGGTGAAGTGGGACAGTGTAAGACATGAAAAAAATAACAATAATTTATAAATTAACAAGGGTTCGTGAGGGAAGAAGAGAGGGTGGGGGAGGGAGGGAGTAAATGAGGAGCTGATAACAAGTAAGGGCTCAAGTAGAAAGAAAATGTTTTGAGAATGATTATGGTAACAAATGTACAAATGTGCTTGACACAATGGGTGGATCTATGGATTGTGATAAGAGCTGTATGAGCCCCAATAAAATGATTTTTAAAAAGAAAGAAAGAGAGCAATACCATTTATAGTAACCACACAAAAGATGAAATACTTAGGAATAAATCTAACTAAAGACACAAAAGGCCTCTACAGAGAAAACTGCAGAACATTACTATGATAAACCAAAAAAGTCATACATAAATGAGAGAGTATCCTATACTCAGTTTTAAGATTATAAAAACATCAATACTACCTAAACAATCTACAAATGCAGATGCAATCCCTATCTAAATTCCAAATACATTCTTTAAATAAATGAAAAAACTAATTACCATGTATACTCGTGTATAAACAGAGTTTTTCAGCACATTTTTATGCAGTTTTTGTGGTAAAATTAGGTGCCTCAGGTGACATTCGGGTTGGCTTATCCTCGAGTATATATGGTACTAATTTCATATGGGAAGGCAAAAGACCTACGATAAGTAAAGAACTTCTTAAGAAGAACCAAGTAGGAGGTCTAGCACTATCTGACCTAAAACCTACTACAGAGCTACAGTAGTCAAACAGCTTGGTACTGGTACTATGAGAGATACACAGACCAGTGGATCAGAACTGAAAACCCAGCCATACATGCATCAGCAATGAATCCTCAATAAAGGACCTAGAAATATCCCATGGGCAGAGACAACCTCTTCAACAAACATGTTAGACAAACTGGATTTCCATATGCAGAAGAATGAAACAAGACCCATATCTCTCCTCATTGCAAAAACAAACTCAATATCCATTAAAGACCGACATGTAAACCCCAAAGCTATTAAGATCATCAATGAGAAAGCTAGAACAAACTTAAGGGTCCTACCGCAGGCCATTTATAGACTTCCGGGTACAATAATACAACAGAAGACAAGATAGGTGATGTATGCACATCATAAGACCATCAGGAGAGTACATGAGAGCCCACAGAATGGGACTTTTTTTTTTTTTTTACCAACAACACAGCAGACAAGGGTTTAATTACCCAAATATACAGAACTCTACAACAACTTAATAAGAAAATAACAAATGATCCAATTAAGAAATGAGAAAAAGACATGAACAAACAGTTCACTAAAAATGAAGTACAAATGGCTTGTGGGTTTTGGTTTTTGTCGTTGTAATATGACCATCAAATTAAACCAGAGTCATTAATAACCTGTGGGCAAGCAGATGGATTCTGGGCTCCCACTTAACTCTAGCCCCAGTCCAAGAACAGTTAGTTCTTATGACATGGCCCTGCTCGATGCTCGCCATCATGAAATGGTCAGAGCAGATAAGGATACTACAGTAAACTGTGGTGAAGAAAGCAGACGGTACCAGGCTATCGATCAGACTAGTGGCTGGGGTCTTAAAGACTTGTATTCAAACAAGCAGCCGTTTAAGTGAGGCATCAACTAAATCCACACTGAAGAAGAAGCACCCCAGCCCGTGTGATCCAGTTAACAATAACAAAATCCAAATGTGACGAAGGGGAAAGTATCAGAATTTGAATTGAGAACACCCAATCTGTAGAAGGCTCTGGAGGACAGTGGGAGCCCCAAACCCATGTGTAGACTATTTAGTCAGATGAAGCCAATGGCAGATCCCCTCTAGTCACAGGCAAGGGACTCAAACATCTTTACTAAGAGACGGAGATTTTGGTAAATTTGATTATGATGGATCAAACCTGGTCTAATATGATACCTGGTCAGTTGACCTCTCTCGACCCAATCTGAACTTACTTTTGGTTTACCACAACACAAATTTCTTGTCTGGCCTTTGAAATATTGTTGGTGGTCAATTCTTTCTCACTCATTTCTATCTTTATATTATCATTTTCTTCTTGCCGTTTTGTTTTTGTTTCTTAATGTTTCTATCAGGTTTCCCAGCCTGTAAAGCACTGGGAGTAGATGCATAGAGACAATAACTGATGCAATGGTTTATCAGATCTGTGGAGGGGAGCTGGGTGGGGAGAGAGGGAATTTTGGGAGCACAAAATGAATATGGGAGGGGTAAGGGGAGAAGGAGAACTGGAACTGATTTTGATGATGTATATACAACTCTTTTTTAAAGTAATTTAATCATGGAAGTGTATGATATGTGCATATTATATCCAGTAAACAACAACAACAACAAACAGCCAATGGTTACCATGGGTGAAGGAAAAGAATTATGCATAGTGGGCATTAAGTTTATATTAATAGTGGTAGAATCATTTGGAAAAGAATATCAATAATGATTGTACAAAAAGAAGAGTATAATCAATGGCATTTTATTATACAAGCAGAAGTCATGGAATTGGGTAATGGTTTATTGTGTATATATTTTTCCACAGTTAGAAAAAAATATTTAAAAATAACAGTGAGTACTTGGAAGAAGAAAATGTTCTAGGATTGAATGTGGTGATAATTTACAACTCTTCTTGATATGACTGAATTATTGAATTGTATGACATGTGGATGAAGTGCTAATAAAGCTGTTCAGAAAAATTTTTAAAGGATATACAGTTTCAAAATCCCCAGGAGCTTGTCTACTCTGTCCCCTCGGGCCACGGGGAAAGGGAATGAACTCGATGGTGTGCGTTTGAGTTCTCACCAATGCTTTCAGTGTGGCTTGGACCTCTGCCTTCAATTGTGTCAGTTCTTGAAATCATATACCACCTCCTGAAATGATTGAATTTGGACAATTTCTTTTGGATCCTGTGGCTCTATGTATTCCTTCCATCTTATTTTGATATTTCTTCCATTATTCAATATTTTACCAATAGAATTCTTCAATATTGAAACCTGATATTTCATTGTTTTTTTCTTCAGTTCTTGCACCTTTGGAAGTACTGGGCATCTCCTTCCCCTTTGACCTTCAAACTGGAAGTTTGAGAGCATTTTATTATAAGGTGTTACTTTGTCACCTTGAGCTGCCTTTTGAAATGTCCTGTTTAGCTCTTTTATTTGATCATTTCATCCTTTCATTTTAGCAAACTTTTAGCAAGTTTCAGACTCTCCAATAGCATCTATTTTTGTCTTTTCCTTTCCTTATTTCCTGTGTTTTGAATGACCTTTAATTTTTCCAGGTATGATCATTAATAGTAAATGTGTCAAATACATTCTTGAGATGTATATAAGTTCAGGTGGGATATATTACTGGTCATATTCTTACTCTTGTGGACTTACGTAAATTTTCTTCAGCTTCTATTTAAATTTGTATATGAGCAATTGGTCTAGCCTCTCTTTGTTCTAAATGATGATAGTTTCTCACTCATCTCTTTCCACAGAATAAATCAATTTTATCCCTTTGCATTCTTGTAAGGTCCATGTACAGTTGCTTTTTATGCTGGTAAAAAGAAGTTATTTAAAATGAATACATTGTTGGTTACTTGAAATTCTATTATGTGGTGTCCATAGTCATTTCTATTATCAAGTCCATATTTGCCAATGACTCATTTTTCTTTTTTCTAACGTTTGCACTCAAATCACTAGTAGTTTTAAGTCCATCTTGATTGCGTGTTTGAGCCACTTCAGACGGCATAAATTGGTGGAATTCTTCAACTGCTTGATCAGCTCTGATAATTGCTGCTCTAATAAGCATTGCAGTCTGCGTCTCTGCTTCTGAACATTACGATTAATCAACGCTCAACTCTGTAAATACACTTCCTGAAAGTTTGTTTTTAAGGAAATGTGTACATAAAATACATATATATATATATATACACATATGCAATGAAATGTATGTGTGTGTGTGTATTTATACATACTAGTATAACTCTTTTCTATGTGGGAGCCATGCTTTTCCATTTGCAGCCACTTTCAGCGGAGGCTTGCACGCTGTTACATTCTGGAACAGGTTTCAGTAGAGCTTTCATAGTAAGACAGACTGGGAACAATGGATTGACTGATTGAGACAATAAAAGCCATGCGCATCACAGCAGTTCAATCCCCACTCGATCATGGGGATTGTACCGCACTGGGCAGTGTTTGGTTCTCTCATGGAGGAGGTGCCTTGATTTAGGAACAACTCATTAGCAGCTAATAAAGCAGAGAATGAGAGAGAGGGGGAAAAAGAGAAAGAGATCTTAAGTGTGTGTGTGTGTGTGTGTGTGTGTGTGTGTGTGTGTCCCTCTGTGAGGTTCAGACTTACCACACTGACTTGTGAACTGTCTTGTCTTTCAGATGGAACACCATTTACATGGTGGATTGGCCGGTCTAATGAAAAGCACTCTTACTGGGGAGGTTCTCTTCCTGGAGTTCAGCAGTGTGAGTGTGGCCTTGATGAGAGTTGCCTGGACATCCAATACTTTTGCAACTGTGATGCTGACAAGGATGAATGGTAATGGGAACCGCAATGTTTCTGTGGTTGTGCTCTGCTTCTCAAGTTCAGCGAAGCATGATGTTTCTCCAAAGAGAGATAGACTTGGATGAGACATTGAGTATGGATTAGAGCTCCCTGATAGTTGTGGTTTTTTAACTTAAAAAAATGACCAATTCTGATATGCATATTATATATGATATATATATATGATATACATAATGGCTGTGACTGAGATTTTTAATGTGAAGGCAAGGTATCTCCTAACTATTTCCTCATATTTTGGAGACTCCATTTTACACAGCAAATGGAAGATAAATACTATTGAGCTTTGTGATTAAGCCAGTGTTTATATAACGCAAGAAATAGATTTTTAGGGTATGTATACAAGGGTGTGTAATTTTGCAGACTGCTTATTATCACATTTCACCATGTAGTTTTAAACACTGGCCTTCTCTTTTATGACCTATAAAACATAGCAAAGGAAGTTTATATCTATGTTTATGGCATATCTATTTAAATCTCAAAATAATCTTTTAATTACTCATATTTTTTCACTTCTGAATTTTAAGGTTGGGAATGTAAATTACAGATAAAATAAATAAATTTCCCAAGGTCATACATGTCTACTAAGTGGCATATACATTTAAACTCGGGCATATCTAGGATCATACATCTTATATCAAGTTACTTTTCTAAAATAAGGTTAAACTTGCTATGTCCATTACATCTGTTTTCCCTTTGTTTTCCAAGTGAACTCCATGTTATTCAGTAGAGTCATCCTGAAAATGCACACAGATTATTTCCAAAATCACCTCTTCTTATCTTAAGCTAATCAGAGCTTCATGAATCACAGAGCCCTTTATATGCTGTTTTAACTATATTTTCTATGCAATTTGAAAGGCTTCAACAAATACTGTACTCCTGCTTAAAACTCATTGCCACCGAGTTAATTCTGATTCACAATCACCATTCAGGATAGAGTAGAATTTCCTCTAGGTTATGGATCTTTACAGGAGTGGAAAGTATCAATTTTCTTCTGCAGGGCAACTCTGGTTTCAAACTGATGACCTATGACAGTTACCTGTCCAACATGTAAGCACTACAGCACCTGTGTCCTCTTAGCAATGGTTGCCTATTTCACATTTTACTTTTCATGCCCTTTCCAACCAGAAAAAGGCTCCATCTTTCTATAGCATTTTCTATGGCAAATGATCTCTCTTAGATTATCAGGACTTATCTTTCAAGGTTGGTATTGCAGAAAGCAAGAGAAAATAATTGAGCTCTCCTTGGTAATGATGGCTACTTCCCTGTAGGTGATGGCTACGTCACCACCCTGACCAACGCATGGTGAAGTCCAAGTGATAGAAGGAAGGAAAGTTGTTTCTATCATTCTCTGGGAAGCATGGACGTCAAACTTTTATATATTCTAAGTTCCATGCACCATCATAATAAAATCCATATATCTGTGATAAATTATTTCGAAATCCACTGTGTTACAGGAGCAATTATATAAACTACTCTATCTGACATTTAGTCATTCATCACATGCTTACCAAGTGCTTCTTGATGGCAGACAGCCATTCTGTATGCATCACAGTTCCTGCCCTGAGAAGTCTGCAAACAGTGGAAAAGCAACACGAGTCAGTTAGCATCTTACCTCACATGCACTGGAATATTCCTGATACCTTTTATACTCTAGCTCATGTAAATATCCTGGATGTCTTGAAGGTGGTTTTATTAGCTTCCTTCCCACAAACAGAAAACCGAGATGTGAATGGTGCATTAAGGTTACCATTAAATCCAAGGATCTGCTTATTGATGACATCAACCCCACACCCATTGCCATCAAGCTGATTCTGAAACATACTGACCTTAGAAAGGATTCGTAGCCTCATCTTTTCCCCATGGAGTATCTGGTGGGCTTAAACCACAAACCGTGCAGTTAGCTGCCCAACACCACACCCATATGACCAATGAGAAGATTTTGAAGAATCATGACCAACCAGTGATGATACAAGAAACACATCTCTGAAGGCCATGCACATCACCCTAATGTCTTATTTATGTTATTTTGTTGTTGTTTGTCCTTAGTCAGGCTTTCCAGGGAGCCTTGAGCATCTCAGATGCCTCTGGAAAGTGACAATATTTGCTCCGTTTGAATAAACCTCTATGTAACTTAATAACCTATTACAATATACTTAAATTACATTGGGCCTTACCTGATTTGCTCTAGACCTCTACTTCTGAGATCTTTTGGTTCAGTATTGTTCAAATGTCTATCACTCAGTAAGATGCTGAGACAGCTCAAATCTGGAATCACGAAAGATAGGAAGGGATTACCTTGAGCATGCTAAGGCTCTATCCTTTATTACAAATAATATTGCACAATTACTGATGGCTGAATTACATTATTCGTGAAACTGTTTATGGGTTTCTTTCACTGTTTATGGACTTTCAAAAGTGCATTTGTCCCCAAACAAAAAAAGAATTATGATGGATTTATTAAAACGAGATTTTTCACGTTTTATTCCTGAATTCACACAAGTATCTAGCAATATAATGAAGGCTAGTATTTTGTGTTGAGGATAAGGATGCGTGGCACTTGACTGCCCTACACACATAAACAGCTGAGTAGATTCATGAATACCCACTACAGTCAAGTCCATTCAGATTTATAGTGACTTGGTCACTATCGACAGAGTAGAACTTCACCCTGCACTTTCTGAGCTTGAAAATCCTTATGGAACCAGATAGATTTGTCTTTCCCCCAATTGAATGAATAAATGAGAATAATTTCCTTATCCTCCCTTCCAGGCCAAATAAACACCCCACGTGTTCATTAGTGCCAGTGGTTCTGTTCGCTGGATATAAACTGTACATCGGAGGGGCCTTCACACTGGTGTGGTGACACTTAGGTTTCTGTGTTTCTCTGTAGGGTGCTCTAGACAGAGTCGTTTCTGGTGAGAAGTCTAACGAGACCAGCAACACTTTCTAACTAAGAGGGATAGTGCATGCCAAATGGAAGAAAAGAGTTAGAACCAGAGGCTAAGGATTTAAAACCTAATTGTGTAGACTTTTATAAAGAATAAAATAGTAGATATTGTGTCAAAGGTAATATCGAGATTGTTTATGTTGTTGTTGCTTTTTATTTTCCTTTGTTTTGTTTTTCGTTTTTTATTCAATCCTGCCAGTGGTCTATCATCTGTTGGGGAAAAACACCTCATTTAAGAAAGTTAAGACCACTGAGTTTTGGGAAGCAAAACAGTGCTATGAGGTACTCATTTTTTGCTTGCCTATTTATCACTGAATTTATGAAATTACCCATGTAAAAGTAGATTTTCCTCTGATTTGAATGTTAGATAACTACTTACCTATTTTCTCTGCTCTGTAGTTTTTCTTGCTTACCCAGTTTAGGTGATTCTACTAACTATGGTTAAGAAATAGAATGCTAGAGGAGAAGGGACTCCAGCCCAGCAGTCACCCCATAGGCAAGAGCTGTGGCAGATTTCTTCTGTAAAGACTGGAGCTGCAGAATCCCGTTGGGGCAGTCCAGCAGGGTTACTATGAGTCAAGTTGACTGTGATCATATGATTGACTATATTTAATATTTGCATCCATATATTTTCTATTATATTTTAAAGGTTTAAGGATTTTAAAATTGCAAATAAATATATTCCGATGTAATCTTATTGTAAAAAACAATCAGCTGCCTCAGGAAAGTTTAAATAACAAAAATAGATGTTTTCTCCTTACAGGCACTTAGAACCTCTTACTTCTACCACACAGACAAAAAGGATTCTTAGAGCTACTGTTTGATGTGTAGAATATTCTACATTCATATACCATATTTGTAGATATGGACATTTATTAATTTTAGTAAACAAGGGCTCATTTAAAATATATTGTCACACAACTTGCTTTTATTCTATTTTCATACACCTTGCAGTGGTATATGCATACATATATACCATTACCTAACCATTAAGGTAAGGCATCCCTCCATTTTATTGCATCTGTAGACTAGTTGTATCATAATTTATTCTTCCATCATTTATGACAGACATTTGGATTCTCCATTATATTATAAATTATTCACTATTAGAAACAATGCTACAGTGAATAGTGTTCCATCCTTATTTGTGTTTTTGGTGCATATTTTGATTATAATAGTGTCATGCATAGAATTACATCCCTCAAATGTGACAACTTGTCTAGGCCATGACTTTCACTGATTTGACAGTTAGGTAATGATGTAGTTTGACAGCATCCACGTAATGATGGGATCAGATGTAATTACCTTCCTTCCATTTGAAATGTGTTATAAATTCTGACTTCTCTGTGCTAATAAAATAGGATTGCATTATACTAATAATGAATCAATTATGTTTGTTGTGTTAATGAAGCAGGTTTAGGGTGGGTGGATTGCAACACCCTCATTCAAGTTAGATCCCTCATCTGACCTAAGGACTGTGTCTGGGGTGTTGCTGTATCAGCCTTTATCTTAGGAATGATAAAAGGAGAGAGAACCAGGCAGAAAAGGAAGAACCTGACTACCATCAAGAAAGAAGAAGCAAGAATGGAACCAATCCTTTGCATCTAGGGTTCCTGTACTGAGAACATCCTAGACCCAAGAAAATATTGATGCCAAGACCTATAGAGATGTCTAAGGAATGTTAGCCCCACAAACGTTGAAAATATACAAGGACCTTCCCCCAGAACTGACAGGAAGAGAGATCCTTCACCTGAAGCAGGTGCTTAGGGTGCCTGGACACCTAGCCTTAACTAATTCTACATTTCTTTTAGGTAAGGGCATTCACTTGTGAAGTTTCTTTCATTACAGTCCTAGCAAAGTAGGACTTAGGCACATCACAGGTATCCACAGGAGAATCTGGACAAAGTAAGACGGGGAGACATGGCAACACCCCTTTTGCTGAGAACTGGCTAGAATCCTTAAGCCAGATGCAGCTGTGCACACAACGCAATGGGAAGTCAGACTCACTGTGTTCTATTTCACAGTT